GGGGGTAGCCAGCCACCATATTGTGAAGACACTCAAGCTGTCCCATGGCTAGATCCACAGAGCAAAAAATTGAGACCTGCCAACAGCCATCAAGGAACTGAAGCTTTTGTCAACAACCACATTAAGTGAAACCACTTGACAGTAAATTCTCCAGCCCTGGTCAGGCCTGGATAACTGCAGTCCCAGCTAACAGCAACGCTGCAGCTTTATGAGAGAATCTGAGCTGGACTCACCCAATTAAGCCATTCTTGAATTCCTGACCCTCAGAAACTGAGACACAATATTTGCTGTTTTAAGCTGCCAAATTTGGGGATCATTTGTTATACAGCAATAGACAACTAATACAGTTCTCTCTTTTAAGATTTAAATTTAAAAAGTCATATAGAGTGATGGAATTAAGAGCCGTAAAACAAAATATAAAAATTGGTTTAATGATACTTTAGAAAGCCGAAATAGAAGAGGGAAAAAAGCAGGCATTACCCAAAAAAGGGCAAGTTCTTTACAAATTTTGCAAGACAGATCAATATGGTTTGTAGATACCTATAAAAAAAGCAAAACCCCACAAGCATTAGGGTTATTAGAAAAGAAGAACTTTCTCTTTTACTAGATAAGGTAACCCAAGTTATTACACTACTCCCACAGAAGGACAATGTGATAAAAGAGAGAGGAGAGAAGAGAAAGAGAAATACAGGTATATATCTTATGTGGCTGTGTAAGCAGAGAGCGCTGCAGACTACCCGAAGAGGAGTACACACATCTCCACGAGGAGGTCATTTGGTAGAAGTCAGGGTGCAGTCAAGAGTGAATAGAGAGACAGGGTCTGGGGTTCTTTGTATAATCATGTAAATCCCTCGCATGTACATTTGAGAATACTCAGGGCATTGCAAACGATCATTTCTCCCGTTGACCCAGCTGATCAGTTTAAATCAATCAATATTAACAAATCCATATTACTTTGTTACTTCCAACGTTTGGCTGAAATGGAAATAACAACAATCACGACAAAACTATTTCCGTAACTAAACTGGTCCTCTTGCTTCTTCCTGAAGAAAGCAGAAGAGATGCCTAAGGCCATGCATACATACTATCTGGTGGAACTACTTGACAATTGGAGAAAGGCTTAAGAAAGGGACGCTTAAAACTGAGGTCATAAAAGAATGAATGAAAAATTACAAGAGAATAAGACACAAATATAAAATGAAGGGAGGGGCACCTGGCTGGCTCAGTAGGTTGAGAGTCTAACTTCAGCTCAGGTCATGATCTCACGGTTCCCAAGTTCGAGCCTGGTGTCGAGCTCTGTGCTGACAGCTCAGAGCCTGGAGCCTGCTTTGGATTCCGTGTCTCCCTTCCTCTCTGCCCCTCCCCTGCTCATATTCTGTCTCTCAAAAATAAATAAAAACGTTAAAAAATTTTTCTAAATGAAGGAGACTTGAAATAGAACCAAGTAATTTCTAGAAATGAAAAATACAGTCACCAAAAATTAAAACCTTATGCATGTACTAATCACAGCTGTAAATCCATATACTATAGGAGGGTTATGAGTATCCTCAGTGCTCTACTGAAGGATTAAACAGTGCAAAATACAAGGTTGAGTTTAAGAGACACAGAGAAGATTTAATGTATATCTAATTGAAATTTTAAAGGAGAGATCAGAGAGACTGAGGTAGAAAAGATTTTTGAAGACAGAATTACTGATAATTGTCCACGCTTGATGAATAAGTGAAATCCTCTGAGGTAAGCACTTTAAGACCTAAGCAAAAAAAGGCAATGCAAATCCGTATTTAGATACTAAAAACACCATAAATTAAGAGAAAAAAAAAATCTTAAAACCAATTAGAAAAAGGTTGCCTGAAAAGGATCAATGTATAGTGAGAGAAGAAGATACTACAGAAAAACTATAAAAGCTAGAAGACAATGCTGACAGCAAATATCTGTCTATGTCTCTTACACGACAAGTGAAGGGTGAGGGCCAAACACTGAGAGTTCAACCACTAGAAGACCTAGACCAGAACTTTAGGATGAAGGAAATTAAATGAGTAAGTATGAGAAAAAATAGTAGACAAATTAGTCCAAATTAAGACAACAAAAAGGGAAATAGCTTTTTGACTTCGGAAGAAATCACAAGCTTCCAGACATACTGTGTGTTCTACAATGCAAAATAATGCCACATACGTCTCACTTTTCACTGAATCTTTGAAATCAAAATGTCATTAATAAAAAAGTTTCTCACATATAAAGAACAGTTGTACTTAATACAAAATATACTCAGAAAAGAAAGAACTTTTCATAAAGCAGAAATGTTCTCATGTTCTTCCATCTGGCTTTCAAGTCTCTCTGTATCTGACCCCATCCCCCAAATACATCCCCCACATCAATAAGAGTGATGTTACCCGTCACACCTTCACATCACCGTACTGCTGTTTCACCTCCTAGAATGTACTTGTACCTCTTCTTTCTACCCAAAGTTTATGCATCAATTGAAAACCCATTTTCCTCATTAAGCCTTCAAAAACAATTCCAGAAAATCTATCATTTCCTTTTTCCTATTCCAACTGTAGTTAGCAGTACTTTAAAATACTATTATGTCAATCTTTATGGTAAAAGTAAAATGTATACCAAGAAGATACAGTAAAGTGAAGTGAGATGGAGACAGTAAAATTCCTACCCAAACAGTCTGTTAACATCTGTTTTATTACAATCAACCTTCAAAATTACTTAAGAGGCCCTAACGGGAAAATCTGAGCCAAAATCCCATATAAAGAAAAATGCAACCTTTTCCAAAATATTTTCTCATAAAATTGACATCTGACTTATTAAGACATTACTTTACATTAATCTTTAAAAAGCACATCTCTAGTAAAAGAATAAACTCTGCAGCTTGTGACAATAACCCATTAACAGAAACAGAACAGGACAGGGAGAGAAAGAAAAGACAGTAAACGCTGTTATTTTACTTTACAAGTCTTTCTTACATACTCCACTGAAATCTCAATAAAAAAGTTTTAATAATTTTTAAACATTTTTATTAATGTTTATTTATTTCTGAGAGACAGAGACAGAATGTGAATGAGGGAGGTGCAGAGAGAGAGAGGGAGACACAGAATCCAAAGGAGGCTCCAGGCTCTGAGCTGTTAGCACAAAGCCTGACGTGGGGCTCGAACTCACCAACAGTGAGATCATGACCTGAGCTGAAGTCGGATGCTTAACCAACTGAGCCACGAAGGCACCCCAAAAAGTTTTAATAATTTTTAATTCCCCAGAATCTAGTATTTTTAAAAAGTAAACAATTTAATTGATGCTTCTTGAATACACAAGAGCAAATCAATGATCTTTGTATTAATACCACGCGTGTATTAACTAGATATTCTTTTGGCTTAGCGTTAACCATCAAGGCCTTTTTTACATGTTATTTACAAGCTTGAGTTTGAAATTTTGTTTATTTATTTTGAGAGAGAGAGAGAGAGAGAGAGAGAGAGAGAGAGAGCATGAGCAGGGGAGTGGCTGAGCAAGGGAGAGAGAGCATTCCAAGCAGGCTCCACACTGTCAGTGCAGAGCCCCATGCAGGGCTCGATCCCACGAACTATGAGATCATGGCCTGAGCTGAAATCCAGAGTTGGATACTTAAACAACTGAACCACCCAGGCCCCCTGAAACTATATATAATATGCCTTCTTTAGAAATAGCAACGAATTCAACTGCCTATAATTTTGTAACTTATAAAGCAAATGCTCCTTTCATCCATATATATCTTTTTTTTTTTTTTTAAATTTTTTTTTTTTTTTCAACGTTTATTTATTTTTGGGACAGAGAGAGACAGAGCATGAACGGGGGAGGGGCAGAGAGAGAGGGAGACACAGAATCGGAAACAGGCTCCAGGCTCTGGGCCATCAGCTCAGAGCCCGACGCGGGGCTCGAACTCACGGACCGCGAGATCGTGACCTGGCTGAAGTCGGACGCTTAACCGACTGCGCCACCCAGGCGCCCCTCATCCATATATATCTTACATTCTTTTACATATCTAAATAATAATAAAACATTAGTTTTCTCTCCTGAAAACATTAATGCTTTAATAACTATATTTTAAGAAACTCTACTTAATCTCTATAAAACATAACTTTTGTCTTACCATGATAAATATCCTGTAAAGAACCACCTCCACAAAACTCCATGCATATCCAAAGTTTATCTCGCCTATAAAGAGAATATAAACATGTATCACATTTTCATGATGAAAATGATCTGAGGTAACAAGTACTTTAAGGTTGTATGCTATAACCTTGAAAAACCACATAAATTCAATGTGCTAAGAAAAAAAGCTAGTTAATCTCTATGAGTAAAAGAATTAATATAATGTGTTGTTATAACTCAATCCAAGGTTTTAATCCTTAAAATAGACCATTTGTAGGATATAAAAATGTCAGACACATCCAAACAAAATTCCCTCTAGTTAAAAACTTTTCCTCCCCCTCCCAGTTTACCTACCTACTCCAAGACAGTATTATAGAAGTTAAATGTTAGTTAAAATGCTCAGACCAAAAACTATGTAGAAGATTCATCACAGAATGGCAATACATCTCAAAGCATATCACATTAATAGTGCTATCATCAACAAAACAGACAAAATGCAAATTTTACCATCACATCTAGTAAAAAAAGGTCTTTCCAAAACAATCTGTTAAAATTTATCACTTACCTGTCTTTATATAGCATTTCCCTCTCACACTCAATTAAGATATCATAATCACAGTCACAAGAGAAATAATTAGCAAAGATTTGATAGCTTATTCCTTGTTCAATCACAACTTCATCTCACAATGTACCAGGAAATATACTATTCTCAGGGGGCAGAGATGGAATAGAAAGTCTCTGAACCCAGCAAGCTCAGTTGAACACAGAAGATTCTACCTTAACATGTCTGTCTCTCTCCCCACTGCATTCACAGTGCTTAGAAGAGCCAGCAAATGAATATTTATTTCATAAATGAATGAATACAAGAGTGACTGAAAAAAATAAACAAATTGATTAGATCAAGAGTCAGCAACTCTGGCCAGTGGGCCGAATCTAGCCTACTGTCTGATTTGTACAGCCCAGGAACTAAGAACGGTTTATGTGTATACACACACACATCTATATGTATGTATATGAATATATGTGTGTATATATATGTGCGTGTTTTAATTTAAATTCAAGTTAGTTAACATACAGCGCAGTCTTAGCTTCAGGAGTAGAAACCAGTGATTCATCTCTTACATATGACAGACACCCAGTACTCATCCCAACATATGCCCTCCTTAATGCCCATCACCCATTTAACCCATCCCCCACCCACCTCTCCTCCAGCAACCCTCAGTTTGTTCTCTGTATTTAAGAGTCTCCTATGGTTTGCCTCCCTCTCCGTTTTTATTTTATTTTTCCTCCTCTTCCCCTATGTTCATCTGTTAAGTTTCTCAAATTCCACATGAGTGAAATCATGTATTTGTCTTCCCATGACTTATTTCGCTTAGCATAATACACTCTACTTCCATCCATGCTGTTGCAAATGGCAAGATTTCATTTTTTGATGGCCAAGTAATATTCGTGTGTGTGTGTGTGTGTGTGTGTGTGTGTACACACACACACACAACTTCTTTATCCATTCATCAGCCAATGGACATTTGGCCTCTTTGCATACTTTGGCTACTGTTGACAGCACTGCCATAAACATTGGGGTGCATGTGCTCCTTCAAATAGGCATTTTTGTAGCCTTTGGATAAATACCTATTGGTGCAATGCTGGGTCGTAGGGTAGTTCTACTTTTAATTTTTTGAGGAACCTCCACACTGTTTTCCAGAATGGCTGCACCAGTTTGCATTTCCACCAACAGTGCAAAAGGGTTTCCCTTTCTCCTCATCCTCGCCAACATCTGATGTTGCCTGAGTTGTTAATGTTAGCCATTCTGACAACTGTGAGGTGGTATCTCATTGTGATTTTGATTTGTATTTCCCTGCTGATGAGTGATGTTGAGCATCTTTTCAGGTATCTGTTAGCCGCTTGGATGTCCTCTTTGGAAAAGTGTCAATTCCTGTCTTTTGCCCATTTCTTCATTGGATTATTTGGTTTTTTGGGTGTTGAGTTTGCTAAGTTTTTTATAGATTTTGGTACTAACCCTTTATATGATATGTCATTTGCAAATATCTTCTCCCATTCTGTTGGTTGCCTTTTAGTTTTGGTGTCTGTTTCCTATGCTGTACAGAAGCTTTTTATCTTGATGAGGTCCCAATAGTTCATTTTTGCTTTTATTTCCCTCGCCTCTGGAGACATGTCAAGTAAGAAGTTGCTATGGCCGAAGTCAAAGAGGTTGCTGCCTGTTTTCTCCTGTAGGATTTTGATGGTTTCTTGTCTCACATTTAGGTCTTTCATCCATTTTGAATTAATTTTTGTGTTACGGGTAAGAAAGTGGTCTAGTTTTATTCTTCAGCATGTCGCTGTCCAGTTCTTCGAGTACATTTGCTGAAGAGACTGTCTTTTTTCCATTGGATACTCTTTCCTGCTTCGGTTTTTATATTTTTAAATGGTTGGGGGCAAAAATCAAAAGAAGAATTTTTCTTGACACATGACAATTATACAAAGTTCAAATTTTAGTGTCCATATAAAGTTTGATTGAAACACAGTGACACTCACTTATGGCTACTTTTGTACTAAAGCAGTGTAATTGAGTAGCTGTGACAGAGAAACAGACAAAGCCTAAAATATTTACCATATGGTTCTTTACAGAAAAGGTGTGCTGATCCCTGGATTAGACTGTAATTTGATTAAGTACACAATCCAGGCATGAATAACATTCTGTGAGAACCCAGAGGTAAGAATATCTAGGAAAGTCAAGGGAAATTTTAGGGAGGAGATATCATTTGTTGTGTCTTGAAGTTAAAGTAGGAATTCAACACTGAGAGACAGGGAAGGGGCCTGCTCAGAGAATGAAAATTTGAAAGAAGATGCTACACTTGAAAGACTATGGGTAATTTAATGTGAATCAAACGCAGACTACCTGAAGAGACAATGGCAGGAAAGGAAGCTAGAATAGGTGGGGTGACACTGTAAAACAATGCTTGGTTTATAAACTCCTCAGTTCAGTTACCTTCATCTGGATGGTCTCTACTTTGTCAATGTCTTTTAAAATGTAGCATCCAGAATCAAGTACTATTCTAAGTGTTGCATACAAAGTGGAGTTGCCGGGGCGCCTGGGTGGCTCAGCTGATTGAGTGTCTGACTTTGGCTCAGGTCACAATCTCATGGTTCGTGGGTTTCAGCCCTGTGTTGGGCTCTGTGCTGACAGCTCAGAGCCTGGAGCCTATTTCAGATTCTGTCTCCCCCTCTCTCTGCCCTGACCCCACCCGTGCTCTGTCTCTCTGTCTCTAAAATAAATAAACATTAAAAAAGTGGAGTTGTTATCAGACATAGATCACACATGGTGGTGGTGAGAGATTAACCAGACCTACAAGGAGAGTGGACGTGGTTGAGTACGATGCACCATGCAGCATGTAACAGGGAACACAAGGATCCGAGCATGAACATCAGTACACAGTGAAAAAAATACCATGATTTTAGAGGCAAAGCTGACATAGTGAGGACCGGAAGAAGAAATCTGAAGTCACTCTGGTATCTAAAATTCACAGGTGGTCCACAGACCAATGAAACTGAGGCATGACATGGCAATGGATGGTGAAGTATGAGCTAGCTGCCCAGTGGTCTGGTTTTACTAACTCTCAGAATACATGCCCGGGGCTGGCAGATGGATGTCTTATTCAAAAGGATGAAGGCATTTATGGCTGGTGATTGCAACACAGGGAGAAGTCTAATTACCCTTGAGAATCAACAATTATCTCCTTTATTTGAACACTTATATTTCTATTAACTGGGCTAAAGGCTATCTTCAGGTTCTTAGCAACTGCTCTAAAACCTCTGATTTTAAGTTTGAAGTTAACTAAAACCTCTGGATCTTTTTTATGTTAAAAAGGAGTCAGATGATTCTCCAGCTTCACATTTGTTTATCTGGTTCATTAAAACTATGCATAGGACTTTGTCTTTATTTGTTAAATCTCACATAAACAAAAGCTCCTTGTGGTACTCAATAAGTTTTCAGAGTGTAAAATAAAAGGGGTTCTAATAGCAAAATGTTTGGGAACCACTGCTCTAAAATATTTTCACATCTGTCCTAAATGAATCTTTCATGTAAAATACCTGACATAAGCATTTACAGGACAAGTAGCAGGGGTTCTTACATATCTTACAAAAACTGGGTGAATGGTTGTTCTGGGTCGGCTCAGAATAAAGTAACATGTAAATTGCTTAGAAAAGGGCCCAGAATATAAGCCCAATAAATGTAAGCTATTTTCTATTCCTTTTGTTACAATTCATCTTGTAGTCTATTTTTGTAAGTCACCTTAAGTTGCTCTGGAACTCAGTGACAATATAAACACATAAAATTGGCATTTTCTTTTTTAAGGGGAAAAAAAAAGAGGGGCACCTGGGTGGCTCAGTTGGTTAAGCATCAGACTTCAGCTCAGGTCGTGATCTCATGGTTTGTGAGTCTGAGACCCGCATTGGGCTCTGTGCTGTCAGCTTGGAACCTGCTTCAGATCCTCTGTCCTCCCTCTCTGCCCCTCCCCTGCTCATACTCTCAAAATAAACATTTAAAAAAGAGAGATGGGACTGATGACTTGACTTCTTACTAAAGTCACAATAATCACCACTTCTTTCTTATGAATGTTCACTAATTATCTGATTAATAATTTATTCTAGAGGTTTGCTGGGGCTGATGGTGGACATCAAGGTTAACAATTTTCCAGAAATTTGTTTTTCCTTTCCTTTGCAAATTGGTCATTGCTGACCACTAATCTTTTGGTACCTCTTCTATCTGTCAAAAGACACTCACTGATAGTGGATAACAATCCCATCTGATAACTTTTCACTGTAATAAGATATAATTTTTATATAAGTCTCAAAGCTCAGATTCATTTAAAGTATCTAGCTGCTCTACAATTATCTCCTCATCTATCTCCTGCTTCAATCCCTTCTTCATAATGATTTTCCTACCCTTTCCAATTGGAAAACAATTCTCCTCAGTAGAGAAAAGGGACAAAAGAAATTAGTTCTCCACTTTTTTACATATTTCAGTATTACACCATCCTCTATTTGACACTGGTCTATCCCCC